GTCAAAAAAAAAAAAAAAAGTAACAGGGAGAGGGCCAACAGGTGGCATAATGGTTGAGGGTGCTGGATTCCCACCCGGCCGACCATGGTTTGAGTCCTGGACCCAGTGGTTTGCTCTCTCAATTTCCCTCTCTCTCTGGTCAAATTAAAATAACAGTAATAATAATAAATAAAGTTAAATAAAAAATATTTAAAAACCAAAGTAACAGGGAGGGAAAATGAAAAAGCACCACCCATGCATCCACAATCCCACCTCCATTTCTCCTATCCTTTTTGGATGATGGACAGAAATGCACGTGCATCTTGTGTGTGTTTCAAGCCACTGGGTTAATAACTTGAGGCATGTAGTCAGTCATGTGGGATCCAGCCACTTTACCCACCACACCACTCGTCCAACTAATTTGTTTACTTTAAAAAAAAGAATTTTACTTAATTACTATTATTACTTTCCAATTTGACTAGAGAGAGAGAGAGAAACAGAAAGTGAGAAAGCAAGCTGCCACGTCCAGGACTCAAATCATGGCCAGCCATATGGGAGTCCAGGACCTTAACCACAAAACCACCTCCCAGCCCCCTATTTATTTAACAGTTTATTTCCTACATGAGAGCAAAACAGAGGGGGTGGGGAGGCAGACACTACCAACACATTCTTCACACTGTTATGCATCCCCAGCCTCAGCCAACCAGATCACACGTGTGTTTATGCACACCTAGCACACATGGAGAGGCCTCTGGAAGCAAACCTGGGACCTTCCCATATGAGTACAATTATATTACCCCTGCACCACTGCCTGGCCCCTAAAGTTTCTTTCTTTAATTGCAAGAGGGCATGTGTGCACCAGAAAGCGAGGAAAGAAAACCTCAAAAAAAGCATAGTCACACCTCTATCATTTCTTCTCCATTTCTACATTATGTCAGGATTCGAGTGCACACACACACACACTTGGCATGTTTTTCAAGCTACCCAGGTCCAGGATCAAACTATGGTTGACCATGCACAACTCTTAACCTATGCTATGGAGTTGGCTCTACTTATTGGGTCATCAGAAGTTATGAAGTATTCTTGTATAGGAAAACATGTCATGACTTTTCCGACAACCTAATACTTGTTTCATGGGGTAGGAAAAGACAGGCACTTTCAATAGTCTCAAGTGAAGAACCTTCCTGCAGCCTTCCAAGTCAGCCAAGATCATGAACATGCATAAGTGCCAGGCATGCACAGGCAGACCCAGGAACTGAACCCTGATCTTTCAGATAGCTTCCAGCACTGGAGAGTGATCTATTTCTACCATGATTATAAAGTTGCATCAAACACACACTTCAAGTACACCTCATGTCTAATTACATAATATGCTAATTGATACCTAGAAGTTGCAAACGGTCTTTGGCCATAACCAAATTAGTCATCATTTTAGCTTGAAGGCGTCTAGCTCTTTCATACTGTTCACCTGAAAGGAAAAAAAAAATTTAATTAAAATATCTGTATTGTCCTACTAATACTGTTTCAAGATAAAATATCATCCTATCTACTCTCATGGAAAACCAAAGGTTTTACGAAGAAAACTAAAATATTTGGGGGCTGGCAGGTGGCATGGTAGTTAAAGGCGCTGGATTCCCACACGGCTGACCACAGTTTGAGTCCCGGACCTGGTGGCTTGCTTTCTTGCTTTCCCTTTCTCTCTCTGGTCAAATTAAAATAAAATGATAATAACTAAAATTAAACAAATAAATAATTCTTAAAAAAAGGAAAATCAGGACCAGCAGTTAGCGTAATGGCTATGTCGCTGGACTCCCATGTAGTCGACCACAGTTCGAGTCCCGGACCCGGTGGCTTAAACGCACACCAGGCGCGTGTGCGTGCATGTCCAAAATCCCAAGAGGAGAATGGAGGAGAAGGGATTGCGGCATGGCCATCCCCATTGGGGGGTGATTTCTTGCTTTCTATCTCTCTATCTATCTCTGTCTGTCTGGCGAGCGCACACGCCCTATAGCAAAAACCTCTCCCAAAAGAAAAAAGGAAAATTAAAATATTTGTAAAATAGTATCTACTAAATCAGTTACGGTTCTCGTGATGGTTTCAGAATTTCTATGGTTGGTCCAATTTTGTGCATACTTCATGGCGCCTAACACATTTTTATCTTCTCGTTTCAAAATCCTGTATTTTAAACCGGGATGTATTTTACAATCAGTGCATGCGCCCTATAGCAAATATCACTCTTAACAACAACAACAAAACCTGGGACTCACAGATGGAATAACAGTTATGTTGCTAAATTCCCACATAGTTGAATATAATTCAAGTCCTGGAATTGATGGCTTAAAACTCACGCTGGGCATGTGTATATCCATGCCCAAAATCCCAAAAGGAGAATGGAAGAAAAGGGATTGTAGCATATCCATCCCCCATGGGGAGATGATTTCTTGCTTTCTGTCTCTCATGGTCTCTCTGGTGAACACACGCATACTACAGCAAAAATCTCCCTTAAAGAAAAAAAAAAGCCAAACTTCCCATGTTTACTGATTCTATTCTGCTCTCTTATATACCAGAATCTAGTAAATATAACAGTAGTCAAAATACACAGGGGAAAGGCAAAAAGGAGAATAAATATTGGCCACATTATAACAATTGGAGGTTAGATGACATATTAATACACAGTAGAATCTGCCAGCCAGTCAATAAACATCTCTGGATGAACGACTAGCCTAAGTACTACTACTTTTGCTTCTGTATTTATATTAGCTATGATAAACTGAAATCCTTTATTTATTTAATAGGGGCATCCACATACTACAAAATATTAACTGCACAATTTAAGAATACAGGCTCAAGGGTCAACAGGTGGCATAAGGGCTAGATTTCCACATGTCTGGCCATGTTTTGGACCAGCAGCTTTAAAAATCACTCCAAACATGTGTGTGTGTGCACCCAAAATCCTGGGAGAAGAATGGAAGAAAAGGGATTGTAACATGGCCATCCCCTTTGGAGGTTGATTTCTTACTTTCCCTCTCCTCTCTCTGTCTCTAGTGAGCCAACCTGCCCTATAGCAAAAAAACAGACAAACAAACAAACAAAAAAAAGAATACAGGCTCTTAAGTCAGACTCCTAGGGTTCAAATTCTTTTTTTTTTTTTCTTTTTTTGGAGAGGTTTTTGTTATAGGGCGCGCATGCTCGCCAGACAGACAGAGAGACAGAAAGCGAGAAATCACCCCCCCCAGGGGGGATGGCCACGCCACAATCCCTTCTCCTCCATTCTCCTTTCGGGATCTTGGGCACGCACGCACATGCGCCCGGCGTGGGTTTTAAGCCACCGGGTCCGGGACTCAAACTGCGGTCGACTACGTGGGAGAGTCCAGCGACATAGCCATTATGCTAACTGCTGGTCCCCTTGGGTTCAAATTCTGATTCTCTATAATTCTGTAGCAGGTGTCTTAGGTAAATTACTTAACTTCTCTGTACTTCAGGTTATTCATCTGAAAAATAAAGATAACAGCAGCAGTTATACAGCATAGGAGGGTGATGAAAATTAAGAGATACTACATACAAAGAGCTTACAATGATGCTTGACCCTATAGTATTAATTAAATATTTAAAGATAATTATTAGACTCTAATTTGTATTTATTTATTTTTATTTTAGAGAGATTTTTTTGTTACAGGACACATGTGCTCACCAGAGAGAAATAGACAGAAGGAAAGCAAAAAATTTCCACCTGGGGAGGATGGCCATGCCACAACCCCTTCTCCATCCTCCTTTAGGGATTTTGAGCATACACATACACATGCCCAGCATGAGTTTTAAGCCACCGGGTTCGGGATTCAAACCATCATTGACTACGTGGGAATCCAGTGATGTAACTATTATGCAACAACTGCTTGTGCCCATTAGACTCTAATTTTTAAAAAAATTATTTACTTAATTGTATTTATTCATTCTCTCTCTCTCTTTTTTTTTTTTTTTTAATTTTACCAGAGAGAGAGAGACACACACAGAAAGAGAGAGATTGGGAAAACGAGAAAGAAGCCACCAGGTCTGGGAGTCAAACTGTGATCAGCCATGTGGAAGTGTCTAGCGCCTTAACCACCATACCACCTGCTGGTCCCCATAGACTCTAATTTTTAATTTGAGGTGATAGGCAAGTAAATAGGAGAACTGCTTTGTCTTTTTATTTATTTCCCTCTTCCACAAGTGATAGATAGAAAGACAGCAACCACTAACGGGTCTTCATTTTGTGATTTACTCCCAGCCTTCTACCAGCTTGGAATGTGTGCCTAGCATACTCAAGAAGGTCTCTGAACTTGAACTGGGAACCTTCTCATGAGGGACTGCCTTGCAGAGTGTCAAGTTTCACCAACATACACCCTCTGGCCCCATTTGCCCTGGTTTTAAAAAGCCAAGTATTGGTGCCAGCAGGTGGTGTGGTGTCAATGTGCTGGACTCCCAAATGGCTAACCAAGTTTTAAGTCTCTGACCTGGTAGTTTGCTTTCTCTCTCTCTCTAAAAATTAGTAATAATAAGTAAAATTAAATAACAATTAGAAAAAAGATTAATAAAATTAAATAATTATTTTAAAAAATTTTTTTAAGTCAAGTATTAATCACAGAAAGATATTTAGGATCAATCCTGTGGCCTTATCATTAAGGAAGCTGGACCCTATATAGCTAACTATGTGGCTTGAATCCTAGCCCCAGTGCTTGAAGAATATGCCACATGTGTGTTAGTGCCCCAAATCTCAAAAGGATGGAGATACTAAAGAGAATGGATGACACGACCATGCCCCATTGGAGGATGTTTCCTCCCTCTCTCTCTCTGATGAATGTGCATGCTCTCTGGCAAAATTTGAAAAACTAAAACAAAAATTAGACATTTACAGCTCATATTCTTTTCTTTCAACTTAGTTATTTATTAATTTTTCTTTTTGAGAGAATTTTGCTGCAGGGCATGTGCGCTCACTGGAGACACTACCTGGGCGGATAGCCATGCCGATATCCCTTGTCCTCCATTCTCCTCTCAGAATCTGGGGGACGCACACACATGTGCCTGGTGTGAGTTTCAAGCCACTGGGTCTGGAATTCGAACCAGGCTGAGTATGTGGGAGCCCACTGCCTTAAACTGCTATGTTATCTGCTGGCCCCTATTTTTTGTATTAGCATTATTTATGTAATTTTATTTATCATTATTATTTTTTAATTTGACAAGGGGGGGGTGAAAAAAGCAAGCTGCCAGTTTTGCAACTTGAACCGCAGTAGACCATCTGGGAGTCTCGTGCCTTCACCACCACACCACCGGCTGGCCCCTAACCCCTATTTTTAAAAAATGTGCTAAGGGGCACATGTGCTCATGAAAGAGAGAGAAAAAGAGAGAGAAAACAAGAACACAAGTCACCAGGTCATGTGGGAGTCCAGTGCCTTAACCACCATGCCACCTGTTGACTCCAAGTCATATTCTCTCTCACTCTCTCTCTCTCTCTTTTTTTTTTTTTTTTTTAAGGTTTTTGCCATAGGGCACATGTGCTCACCAGAGAGACAGTGAGAGGAAATGTGAGACGTCACCCTCCGGGAGGATGGCCATGCCACAATCCTTTCCTCCTCAAGTCTCCTACTGAGATTCAGGACATACATGCACGTACTAGGCATGAATTTCAAGCTGCCAGGTCTAGAACTCAAACCACAGTTGGTCACATGGAAGTCCAGTGCCTTTAACCACCATGTCACCCATTGGCTGCCCTATAGATCATATTCTAACATACAATCAAGAAGTATTACCCACAAGTGCAAAGGGAATTGTGGTGTAAACAAATATAAACATAACTTTACCTTGTCCTGTAACTATAACAGCTATTCCTTTTTCTAGTTCTTCAATGCCTTTTTTATACCATTCCACAGCTTGCTCCTTCTGTCCTGCTTTAAAATAGAAATAATTATTTATATATATATATATATATCATGACCAAGAAGAGTACACTAAACATTTCTCAAAGCATGCTATTGATAGATGATACACGAAAAATAAGGTTGTGATCAATAAGTCTGAGAAACATCACTGAATGACTTCTTGGTACTTTAAGCATCTTATGTGTATATGAATCTCTAAGAGCAGGAATATAGTCACAATGTTTCTCAAAATTTTAGGGCTGACTCCTTTGTTCCTTATGATGTTCTGATACATATATTTTTTTAAAGAGAATTTTTTTGCTATAGGGTATGTGAAGTCACTGGAGAGACAAAGACAGAAAGCGAGAAATCACCCCCACCACCCAGGGAGGACAGTCGTGCTACAATTCCTTCTCCTCTATTCTCCTCTCAAGATTTTGGGGAACCAGCAGTTAGCGTAATGGCTATGTCGCTGGACTCCCACGTAGTCGACTGCAGTTCGCGTCCCGGATCCAGTGGCTTAAAACTCACCCCGGGCGCATGTAAGTGCGTGCCCAAGATCCCGAGAGGAGAATGGAGGAGAAGGGATTGCGGCATGACCATCCCCCCTGGGGGTGATTTCTCGCTTTCTGTCTCTCTGTCTGGCGAGCGCACGTGCCCTATAGCAAAAAACCTCTCCAAAAAAAAAAAAGATTTTGGGCACACACGCACACATGCCTGGCATGAGTTTTAAGTCGCTGGTCTGGAACTCGAACTGTGGTCAACTATGTGCGAGACGAATGACATAACCATTATGCCGTCTGCTGGTCCCCTGATACTGATTCTTATTATCATTGAAATGCTGGGAAAATGGAAAGAAATTTGGGGAAAATATACTTTCAATAAACTTTTTAAAAAATACATAGTGCTGTTGGGGCTGGCAGGTAGCATGGTGGTTAACGGTGCCAGACTCTCACATGGCTGACCACAGTCACAGACCTGTTGGTTTGCTTTCTCTCTCTTTGTCCCTCTCTGGTCAAATTAAAATAAATAAATAAAAGTTAAATAACTCTTTAAAAAAATAGTGCTGGAAAAGGTAAACATGATCTTAATAGTAGTGAGGGAAAAAACACTGTTCAATATAATTATATTCAAATCTGATATCATGAGTTCATTTTTGGGTGCCCCCTTTATAGAGTAAGCTTTTTTATTTTTTTAAAGAATTATTTTGTTTAACTTTATTTATTTATTTTAATTTGACTAGAGAGGGACAGAGTGGGGGGGGGGGTAAGAAAACAAGCTGCCAGACCTGGGTCTTGAGCCGTGGTCATCCCTGTGGAAGATCAGCATCCTTAACCACCATGCCACCTGTGGACCCCTTATAGAGTAAGTTTTTTTGGATTTATTTTAATTGTTTTATTTTATGGAATTATGTATTTAACTTTATTTCTTCATTCATTATTTTTAATTTGACCAGAGAAAGACACAGAAAAGAGAGAGAGAAAGAGCAAGCCACCAGGTCAGGGACTCAAACTGTGGTCAGGCATGTGAGTGTGTCCAGCGCCTTACCAACCACACAACCCGCTGGTCCCCTAGAGTACATTTTATTTAACAAATGATTACATCAAGAGGCCTGGTATATGAGATTACAAGTGTGGCACTTAGTAACATTTCTATTTTCTTTGAATCAAATGGTGAGTTTATGACATTAAGACTTTTTTAAGATTTATTAATTATTATTATTTTTAAATTGTTATAGGGCATGCGCACTCACGAAAAAGAAAGAGAGAGTGAGAAAGCAAGCTGCCAGGTTTGGGACTCAAACTGCAGTCAGCCATGTGGGAGTCCAGCTCTTTAACCACCGTGCCACCTGCTGATCCTCCATACCTCTTATCTGAAAGTATAAAACTACCAGCAGTAGGATAGATTTGTAAGTCAAAGGAAAAGACTAGCAATAGACCCATACATATATTGTTGATTGATTTAGATATAGATAAGAAATTCAACAAAGAAGGAATAGGGCTAGACCATGACATACCAGTTAAGGAAGCCAGACCTACATGGCCAAATGTGCAGTTCAAATCCTGGCCCTGGAGGCTTGAAAAATACAACAGGCACATTTATGTGTATGCCTAAAATCCTAACAGGATGGGAAAATGGAGAAGGTACTGCAGTGTGTACCCCACAGGGCCTGCTTACTCATTCCCTTCTCTGTCTGGAGCTTTCATTCAAATGCAAATATATGGGACATTCATAAGTAAAGAAATTAACTGTGGCCATATAAAAAAATTAAACTGAAATGTATCATAGACCTAAATGTAAAACCTAAAAGTATAAAACTTGTGACAGAAACTATAAACAAAATTCTTTGTGATCTTGAGTCAGGCAGAGATTTCTTCAAGGGAACACAAAAATCATAACCATAAGAAAAACACACTGATGGCCTGGTTAAGGCACTAGACTCTCCCACACAGATGACTACATTTTGAGTCTCAGATCTGGTGGCTTGCTTTCTCTCTTTCCTTCTCTCACTCTCTCACTCTGTCCCTATCTGCTCAAATTAAAATGAAATAAATAAAGTCGAATAAATAAATAAATAAAATTATTGGAAAACAACAACAACATTTAAGGGATCGGCAGGTGGCATGGTGGTTGAGGTGCTGGACTCTCCCACATGGCTGACCACAGTTTGAGTCCCAGACCAGGTGGCCTGCTTTCTCACTTTCCCTCTCTCTGTGTGTGTCTCTCTTTGGTCAAATTAAAATAAATGAGTAAATAAGTAAAATTAGATAAATAATTCTTTAATTAAAAAAATAAAAACACATTTAAAAATAGTGGGCTTAATCCCAGGAGGTGACGTGGTGTTTAAGGTACTGGATCTCAGGCCAACTCCAAGGTTTGAGTCCTCAGAACTGGTTGCTTGAAAAACAAGCTGGATGCATTTGTGTGTGTGTGTGCCCAAAATCCCAAGAGAAGGGTGGAGAAGGAACTGTGGCATGCCCATGCCCTCTGGAGGATGATTTTTCACTCCCTCTGACCCAAATGAATGCAGGTACCCTTATGGCAAAAAAAAAAGAAAAAGTTAAAAAAAAAAAAAAGGTGAAAAAGCAAAATATATACTTTATCAAAGAAGAGACATGAATGTCAAATAAGCACGTGAAGGCTGGCCTTGTTACCTAGTGTTTATGGGAGCTGGATTCAACATGGTCAACTGTATGATTAGAGTCCCAGACCCAGCAGCTTGAAAATCACATCAGCCTCCTGTGCATTCACTCCTAAAATCCCAACGAGTGGCCAGCTAGGTAGTGTGGTGGTTAAGGCAGATGGATCCCACATGGTTGACTATTAGACCTGGCAGCTTGAGGAGCTCACTAAGTGCTCAAGTATGCGTGCATGCTCAAGGTCCCAGGGGGAGACCAGAGGAGAAGGGACTTCCTGGGCATTCCCCCTAAGAAGTGCATCCTCACTTTCTCTATGTCTCTGATAAGTACATGTGCCCTATAGCAAGTTAAGAAAAAGACGGAAGATGGAGAAGGGACTGTGGCGTTACCATACTCTTAAAAGGGTAACTTCTGGAGCGTGCAGATGGTGTAGTGGTTATGTTGCTGGACTCCCACATGGCAACTGTGGTTTGAGTCTCAGACCCAGTGGCTTGAAAATCGGACTGGGTGGATGTGCATGTGTGCCCAAGATCCCAGGAGGAGAACAGTGAAGAAACTGCATCGTGGCCATTTCCCAAGAGATGATTTCCCACTTTCCCTTTCAGTGTCTCTGTCTCTTTCTGGTGAGTGCACCTGCCGTAAGGGAAAAACCTTTTTTTAAAAAAAAGAAAGAAGGTGCTTTCTCCCTCTCCTCTTTGTCTATCTCTCTCTGGTGAGCCCATCTGCCCTCTGACAATTAAAAAAAAAAAAAAAAAAAGCCAACATACTAAGTAAAGAATGAGGGTGGGAAAGACTTCCATCTGATTTTTTTAAATAAAGTATCTAAAGGTCATCGGGGGGTGGGTGGCTCTGTGGCCTGGTGGTTGAGGTAAGTGATCTTACATGGCCAACCACATGGTTTGAGCCCCAGATCCAGTGGCTTCAGGAACATGCCCAATATGTGTGTGCATGCCCAAAATCCTGAAAGGAGGGAGAGATGGAGAGGGGACTGTGGCACGACCATTCTTCATGAGGATGCTTTCTCCTCTCCCTAGTGTCTCTCTGGCAAGCACGTGCAGCCTGCAGCAAAAAGGACAAAAAAAAAAAAAAATCTAAGGATCAAAATTAATGTAAGTATTTTTTATTACTCTTTATTTCTTTTTAGTTGCTAGGAGGTGCATCTGGTTGCCAGAGACAAGGAGACAGAAAGCAAGAAGAGAGGAGCACCCCCACAGAGTGTTGTGACACCGTGATCCCCTTTCCAGAGCACTCCAGCCTTCCAAGATTTTAGGCACAATGTGAACAACCTTGAGTATTTTCTTTCTTTTTTAAAAAAAATTATTTATTTAATTTTACTTATTCATTCATTTATTTTAATTTGACGAGAGCGAGAGAAAGCGAGAAAGCAAGCCACCAGCGCTGGGACTCGAATCAGGGTCGACCATGTGGGAGTGTCCAGCACCTTAAACACCACACCACCTGCTGGCCTCCAACCTTGAGTATTTTCAAGCTAACCTGGGGATCTGAACCCACAGTTGGCATGTGACTATAAGAACTACAGTTTGGTTTGTTACTGTAGGCACTATAAACTTGGCAGAAGTATTAAAGCTCAAGAGTGGAAAAAAATATATATAGTATAGAAGAGCAGACAATTTATACATTGCCTGATGACATAATTCCAAATCCGGGGGGTCATACTGGCATAGTGATTATATTGCTGGACTTCGACATGGCTGACCATTGACTGAGTCCCAGTTTGGGAGCTTGAAAATCATGCTGGGCATGAGTGCGTGCATTCCCAAGATCCTGGAAGGAGAAGGAATTGTGGCATGGTCACCCCCCCACCCCTGGAAGTGATTTCTCACTTTCCCTTTCACTGTCTCTGTCTCTCTCTCTCTCTCCAGCACA